AAAAAGCTTTTTACTATTTAGCTTATTTCTATGGTAAAGTAAAAATCCTATAAATGTTTTAAATAATTACTTGGGCTCTCGATTCGTACGATTCACACGTATGTATAATTTTTCCAAAGTCACCGATATCGTTGCCAGCGAGTTGGCAAAATTTCAATCGTTTATGTGCGGTCTACGTGGATGCATTCATATACATAGACGCGCATTACACTTTCTCACCCATGGATCGACTCGAGCACGTGACATCTCATCTGATCGTCTGCAGCTGCGAGCGACAGACGCATATAATACGAGACTCTGCTATACGTATCATAATAATCGATCGTTGAAACCTTTCAAGTGCCTGTTCTACGTTAATACGGGTGAATTTTTCTCTCTCTATTTCTCTCTCGAGACTTTTTGACGATTTATATATAATGCGCGCAACCAGTGTCAAAGTCAATCTTCGTAACGGCAATATCTACACACAATTTAATCGAAGGCCCGATAAAGACATAAAGTCTACATTTCGTAATCGATTGCGATGCTCTTTTTTTTCGGCGAGTGGCGAAAACAGCCTCATCCTCGCGCAGGTCGAAAGAGGAGAAATTCGATCGGTGTTACGTCTCATGTAAAGCGAGGCTAGATTTTAGAAATGAAATGGAGATGTTATCTCCAGTTGGCCTACTGCTCGCGTAATAAACTTGGTGTGTTTTTGTGCAGCAGCAGCGAGTCGAGAGAATTCACGACGATCGCGACTTTTCTCCGCGTGGTGCACACGGGAATCCTAGTAAATTTCTACGCGTTATGGTTGAAAATTTGCCAGCTCTCGAGAAGGCTACACACCGAAAAAGCTCTATATTCTCGTGTCATATGAATCTTTTTTGGAATGGTTTAGCAGAAAAAAGCTCGAAAGCTTTTAGACACATAATCGTAATAATAACTAATCGCAGGGAAACGATTGTCAAAAGTTATTCGGCTTCTAAAGGAATTTACTTTTTCAATGCTTGGATCAACAAAGATTCGCCGAGAGACTTTCTCTGCAATCGACACATACCAGTGCAAGGGGTTGATTTCGTAAATGTTTGTAGTCAATTTCAACTAAAAAGGGCGATTTGATTGACTTTCTTAGCAAATGAACAGTCCAGAATTGAAATTTTACCCATCATTTTCTCTCGTCTTATTTTTGGAATAATTTTTATCGGAACGAATATTAAATTTTTAATTTCTCTCTCAAAACTATACAAGGGTTATATTTTCTTCGCTATAAGTTCGTTAGCTTGAAATTCAAAATCGTCGAATAACACGCGTGCATCTTTAAAACGTCGAACGCTCTTTGGGGCGCGCAAAAACATTTTCAATTAACTGCAAGTAAAGACGACGAGTGCGTTGGCAAGAGCACTTCTTCTCTATCTGTTCTCCGCTGCTGCTGCTGCTGAAGCTTCTCGCGTCGACTCTCGTATTCACAATTTTCGCTCGTAATTTTCGCGCCAGGCATTTCTCCGCTGGCGTTGTATCTACATATTTAACGTGAGGAAATATTTGACTCGAAATTTTTGAAAGACACACATAAACGCACGCATTTGCGTGATTAAAATCCATTAAGCGAAATCAATCAGTGGGGCAAGTTCTGCGGTATTGGCTCGTCTACAGCAGCAGCAACAGCAGTGGTTAGATCGTAGAAGCAGTTAAGAGTGCAAAGCATGACTTTGTGCTTTGTTCCTTTTGAAGCGCGCCCATATACTTGGAAAGTCCTGAATGCGTACGTATGTAAAGGCGAAGGTAGCGAGGGCCGATTTCGCCTTAGAGATATCTGACAAAGCGCGCGTGTGCCTGTATATACGTATACCGTGCTAAAACGAAGATCCGATCGATTCACCCTTACCTATCCTATATATACACGTAGTAAACGTATAGAAATAACATTGCGAATAGTCAACGCTTGGATAGCTGGGCACACTCACAGAGAAGTACGTGTCGCGCGCAAAGCGCCTTGATCGTAATTAATAAGTTATGCCGCAGCCGAGCGATTCTCTCTCGGTGTTTGTCTCTGTGCATCTGCAAAGCTGGGGAGAGGGATTCAAGACGAGATTATCGATACCAACTTCTGCTCTCAAGATTTTCGCATACATATATACTTTATTCGGGGATGAGACGTTTCTGTAATTTTACTGCGCTGCGGTATACTGGAACACGCGCGTTAAATTATGGCAAGTTCTTGGGGAGGGAGACAATTTCCGGGATAAATTTGGTAACGATAATTACGTTAAAATGGTCTGAATGTAGCAAGCTGTAAATCGCGGATGTACGTTTGTCGAATGCAGTTTCACCCGAGTTCGCTTGCGAGCGAATGTATAATGCGGGAACTTTTGAAACCCTAAGTAAGACGCTGCGATTTTTTGAGCCCGTGTTGAAAGGTCCGCGAGACTCGAGAAATGAACAACAAATATCGATGTAACTTTTTTCTCGCAGTTGGCATGAATGTCAAGTATATGGGCTTAAAAGACCTTTTGTAATGGTTTAAAGCTTTTTTGATTTATTTTTTATATGCTGATTTAATTCATATAAACAAATCGTTTCATTAGAAAAAAAGTTATGGACGATTTTGTATTCATGGAAAATTCTATCTTTATGAACACTAGGTGGCGCATGAAAAACCCGCTTGTATTATAATTCGGTTCTATTATTAAATTTCGTTCGTTCATGAGAACTTTGAATTGTCTGTTGTTATCCATAGTCTTTTTAACCCTAATAGACACAATCGACGTAAATAAAGAGATAGAATTTTTCTTCCTATGCGTATTTCGCATTTACTCGCAGCTTCGGGAAACTGTTACGAAACCATCTACTGTTTTTGACAATCGCTTTGCTTTTCTGCTGCTGCACACGTCCGTGCGCGCGACTTTATTATGTTCCCGTTAGGCCGCAAGTTGTGCCGCACCACGAGAGACGCAGAGCAGCAGCAGCAGCAGCTCTCGGGGCGTTTCTTGGGACGGAAGATACGGGGATTCGAAAATCGAGGCAAAAAATTCACCGTAACCGTGTGTGTCTCTATAGTCACGAGGATAAATCTACTCCGCGATAAATATATTGCACATGTACACTGTCCGTGGACTAATTTTGTCCATTTGACATGAATTCGGTCGGTATGGGACTTGTATAAGCATACGACGTTTCGTAATTCAGTGGACAAAATTAGTCCACGGTTAGTGTACATATATCCACACGAACGTAATCTTGTTTCTTTTATTCCCGTGATTTGCACATTTTTTGCCGTGTCATATCGTCGTATCCTACGCGCGACGTGTGTTTGTGTATATGTTCCACGCGTCGAGCGCGAAGCAAAGGAAGAAGAAGAAAAAAACGGTTGATAAAAGATGTGGAATACGTCTTTTATTATGCGAGCACAATGAATTTAAATACGCTCTATATATCCTTCATATATATTCTTCAGCCAGCGGCGGCTTATCGCTGTTACGATATTCATCGCGTACTGAATTGCCACGTAGATTTTCGTAACTTTGAAAAACAAGGCAGGTTTATTCGAAAGCTTTCGAGGCTTAATAATTCATAACTTCTTATTAAGTCGCTCGTGCATATTCGGTGTAATTTAGATATTTTGGCAAATTTATCGGAAAATCGATGCGCCTGTGTTGGTGCATCAAGCGACACACTCGCGCCCAGAACTGTTCGAAATTTACAATACAATATTATGTGGAGCTTGCGCGAGGCGAGCTTTCGAGGAACTATTTTAAAACCGCCAATTTTTAGAAATATAGGCCACTGACACGACGTAGTTCGTGCGACGATGGACCGGTAATTTTTTCACGTTATATAATCAATGTTTTCATTACCGATATTTTTCGAATAAATCATGAGTTCGAGTATATCGTCATCGTTCGATAAATCGTCAATTTTCTTCTCACATTATGGTACAATTCGTCGATAATTCCGAAGCTTATAATAAGAAAAATCTGCAGAGCTAATCAAGTTTTGTTGTTTTAACAATAAGTTTTGTTGTTTAAGACAATGAAACTAGACCGTAATATTTTGTGGGTGTAATGGGTGTTTTGTTTTTTTTTCACTCAGTTTAGTGGAATTAACAATGTATAACAGTCTTGGTAGAAATGCTCAGCTTCAATAATGTCCTGTTGATCAAAAAATGGCCATTTTGATTGATTTGAAGTACCTTATCATTGATCGGATCGTTTTTATCAATTTTTTATTTAAAATTATGTTAGTATAATTAAGCGCATTTCAAATGACCAGAAAATAGTAATATAATTTTTTGAAAAAATTTAGACAAGTTTTTTAACCGCTTTAAATACGAAATACCACTTCAAACTCTCACCGCTAGATGGCGAGTACCTTTATCTGTAAATCTGCAAGTGTTAAAGTGAAAATAATTGCATAAGTTAAAGCAAGGTTTTTAGAACCCGTTTATGTTTTGAGCACAGTTTATTAATTCGTCCTTTCAAGGTCAGACTTTGGAACATATATTATTATCCATGAGAATATTCATTCATTCGCATTTACCAAAATAAAACTCTCTCAAACTACAGCCTCGTGCAGTTCAGAAGCCAAGAGAGAGACGAAGAATTACGATACGAGGCGTCGCAATTTTCGTTTTGTCGAGCGCGTCAGCCACGCGCATCGCATCGCGCCTTCTATATTAATACACCCAAGCGGGCCGTGTCGCAGTAGCGGCACACACACGCACGCACCACCTGCACTTAACCCGAATTCACTCTCGAATCTCATTATACATTCGAGCTGCTGCTGCTGCGGAGGCCCATATACTAATTTCAACTCGACCCATATTCATTAATTTCTTCACTCGGTTGGCAGCACATACATATGCAGCTGTGTGTGTGTGCGTGCGTATACGCATGTACGTATGCCATATTTTCTACCCTTGTTGAAGTAAAAGCTACACACACCAAACCCCCCATGCCACCTTAATGACTCGTCTCGTTGTAGCTGTGTTATGCTAAAAGGCCTTCGTCAAATGTCTGTTACAGCTCGACGACACGGCGCTGCAGCTCTACAAGGATGGCGATTACGGGGCTTACCTGGACCTCGAGGCATCCATCAGCGAGCAGCAGGAGGAATTCGAGGGCTTTCAAACCAAGTGAGTACCAACGAGATAAAAAGAAAAAAATATTCACGCATCCTCAAATTCTATACGTATTATATGAAGAGTATCGAATTTTGTGCGGTATACGTGAACGCGATCATTGTGTGATTTTATTCGCGCGTCATTTTCGGTGGGAGAAGGGATAACCCGTCCGAGTGGCCTTCTTATTCCGCGCGTGTCCGTCCCGCGTGTATTCTTGAATTATTGTTCGGCAAAAAGTTCGGAAATTCGTATATATAATTTTATTTATATGCCTTTTATTCCGTCGCGCATTCTGAGCTCTTGAGATACCTGACAAAAAATCATCTCGAGCGAGTCGATCATTCTACTTTTCGAACGACGTAAAATCCCAAAACACGACCGATGCTCTCTTCTTCACCGTTGGTGGATCTCTAATGTCAAAACGATGATAATGAGGAGACCTTTTCCAACGTCCCGAAGTTCGCCGTTTTCACTTTTCAGATTCTTTCTTTCTCTCGCTTTCGTGTTAGAGGATATTGAAAAAAAAGCTCGGAGTAGAATCTCCGCGCGCAGATGCTTATCTCTGATATATACGATCGGTATCCCCCCTGCCATATCGAGGATAGAGTTTTTCGCGTCGAAGAAACGATTTCTATCCTCTCAAGTCGAATTTAATCGTTTAATATATCACACATTTGTTCTCGCGTTAATTGAAAAGATCCTGTGTGTTAGTTTTTTTTTGTTGTTTTCCACTCGACTCTCGAAAGTTAAGGAAGTACCGTACCTATACACGGGATGGCCTCGCGCGGCCCGAGAGAAAGAAAAGAGATAGCGATCGGTTTTGTGGTTTTGTGTGCCACGCAAATTTTCGCCTTCTATAACTATGTATCGACGCGGAGTTTAAGGTTTACGATAATTAGCTTTCATAGAGTTGTCAAAGACGTTTGTAATGCTCTCTCGGCCGTGCTGGCGAGCGGCAGCGGCAGCGGCAGCAGCAGCCCAGGAGTCTCTCCTGGGGAAATTCAATAGAGACGTATTTATTCGACGATATATTTCTGTGTGTGTTCTTTTGGGATACGTATTTATTTTACTATCTCGCGGTGCGCGCGCGAGCCACAAGTGGCTACCGGTATTTAGCCAATGGTACACACGGCTATATATCGTTTTCACCGCGCGAAGCCCAACAAAAAACATTTCGTATAATGCACGTACTTACACGATAATATAGGAACCTTTCTAATTATACATATTATACGACTTTTGCTGGTAAGGAGCTCTTACTTCCTTTCGCCGTCGCTGCATGCTAAAGGATCGCCGTACGAATTTGCGATATTATTATTATTATTATCGTTATTATTTATGCATACGATCTAGCGCAATATGCGATAACTCGTGCTCGGATCGTTGCCGTATTATAAGCTAATCCGATAATGCTCGGGCTCTCGAGAACTTGCTGATAATTTAATCTAAATTAGACGATAATAAATCGAGGATCGATCAGCGCGGCCCGATCTCGACATCCGCTTTCGACGACGACGTTCTTTACTAATGCCCGAACAATCGATAAATTCGCGATCGATCCTGTGTACAATTTTGATCCGTAGGCATCGTGTATGATTATCATCCTCGACTCGGTTTTCGCCGAGGTTCAATAGTCAAGTACAATGCCGCGATTAGCCCCAGCCGCTGCTATATTCTAAGCCGTCGGGGCTGCCCCGTTATATCGACGTCTTTTATATGTACACATGCATAATAAGTAATCAAGTATATGGCTCGTGTTAACCAGTTTCCCGTGCGTATTATATCGGCCCCGAACGATCTTATATATTACCCCTTTGTGCATAGCTTTTTTTTTGTTGTTGTTGTCCGTATGCTTCTCCGAATGCAAAACGATAATTTAATAGTTTGTTATATTTATTACGCAAGGAGTCGACAAGTAACTAGCTTTGAGCCGAGGCTATATAGTTCTTAAATCATGGTTAAAGAAGAATTTCGTTGCTTGCGTGCGTTCGGTCGTCGAGCGATGCGCGCACAGACCTAAACTGACGAGAAAATTTACGACTCGTCGTCGTCGTCGTCGTCGTCGTCGTCGCGCAAAAGCTGTTAGAGCGGAACAAAGGCAACGACGATATGAGTTCTTCTTCTTGACTTTGCGTTACGCGCACACGTAAAATTTTTCATTCAAATGTAATAATATATATAGAAAAGACGCTTCGCTATACGTCGGAGCTTATGGTATTTTCCAGCTTGCACATACGATTTCGATTGACTCGTTCGTATACAGTATACATGTATACGAAGTCGAGAGTTGCGAAGTTCTGGTAAATAGACTCGAAGCGAAGAACTTCTTCGGTTTCGCAAAAAAAAAAGTATCGAAGTACGTCTGCACACCGGTGAATATATAGATAGTTTTCCCCGAGCGGAAGAGAGAGTTTCCGATTTCAAACAAAATCCATATACACGATGTTGTGAAAAAGTTGAAAAAAAAAAAAAAAACAGTCGTGGTAACTCGATGCAATTCCTCGAAGTCGGTAAATATCTTCATTATATCTACATTAGTTGGATAAATCTCGTTGAATTAACGTTCTCGTTGAACTCGTATTCGAAAACGTCGATATTTCGTTCCAACAAGGGGTTTCACTTCTTTTTTTTTCGACGTTATTAAAAATGGCAACAACACCAAAAAAAAAAAAATCAGAAGTGCAGATCGAAGACAGATGCGCAGTCTCGACTGCGAATGCAAAATTCAAAACTCAATATCGCTGCTTTTTATGGGAGCTATTTTACATCGGCACTTGACATGGGGTGTATGCGTGCTCGTGTATTACGCACGCAGTCGTCGAACGAGCCGAAGAACTCGTCAACTCGATATGCATACAAAGGGATTGGCTTTCTTAAGCTGTATACGGCTGCAACTGTTCCGATAGCGAATACGTGCCGGTTATTGTACACAATATGCGAACAGCATCGCTCTTTTTTCATTTTTCGATTCTCCTCTTCTGCTTTTTTTTTCCTTTGTCTTGCATGAGAGCTCATTTTTTTCGTCTCCGTTTACCATTCGATAAGGTATATGCATTTTTTATGAGCTCATTCAAGCCTAAAGCTGAGGATGTTCCCTATTCCAATTTTTTTTCTTGGTAATCGAATTATAATTTGCATATTTTATACTTGATAAGAAAGATTTTTTTCAATACGATAATACCACTATGAGCCTTCACCACTAGATGGCGAATACCTGTTAATGTAAATCTGCAAGCGGCAAAGTCAATATAATTGTATGTAAGTCCAAGCACGGTTGGCAAAAATATCCTCTACCACTTATTACTTCTTACTGGCTTTATTTACAATGCTCGCGCTTTCACCCTACATTCTCAATGCCCTCTCTATCAATACCGACACACACAAGTTTGATCATATGTCAAATTTACATATCTTCTCTCGTGTTTCTTATGAGCAATGTTTAACTCGAGAAAGAAACAAAGGAAAAACATTTTACCAAAAATAAAGCATAAAATATTAAACTTTTTTACTAAGATTGCCAAAAAAAATTGTTCGTACAGAAAATTTTTTTTCCGTATTTATTATGCAATCCCGACACAATAAACATTTTAACCATAACAATTATATAACTTTGTATTGTCTGGTTATCTGCATCGTTTGTAGTTGTTGTAATATAATTCACGTAAGATGTGCGAATTAAGGTAATAGAAGTATTTATTTGTACATTGGACATAGAAAATAAGATGCATGTAAGATTTAAGGGAAATCACTCCAGGTCGTCTGTGTGTGTATTCGAAAACGAATATTTTAAATTGAATCGATAAAATAATTCAGTTTCTCAATTTAGAATCGCCTTCTGGTAACATAATTTCGTCCAGGATAAATGTTTCACCGTGACAAGCTATGAGCTTTCGTACTAAAAAAGCTATTTATCGACAAAATTCATCATTACATTCATCGATGCGAGTGACGTCTCCGAAGGATCGCATCGAGGCGATTGTACCGTTTTATCGGCGCGTTCGATATACGATTGTGTACCCCGTGCATTTTTTCCGATTGAAAATCGAATCAATTTCTCAGCGGAATCATCATCATTATATATTAAAAAAAAAAAAAAAGAAAGAAACGAAATGAAGGAATCTATCGTTACCCCTACGGCTGCTCTGCTTCTACCTGTTACAAATGGGTATTACGGGAGGGCGAGCAGATAATAGCAGTGTTTGTCGAATTTGAAATTTTAATCAACCTCAAAGGACTGTAACAGCTGCTACCGATTGCGAACGGGGCTCGCTCGTGTATACATACACGGACTTTTAGAGGATACGAATTTTCCTCTCGACTTGTGCCGCTTCTGTATATAAGATAGTCGACGAGCGTCTATGAGCCTATCGAGCGTAACAGCTGACGGGCGCTTCTTATATATCTATTTTCTTTTCTCTCGTAATGGTCCAGCATGTATGTGTGTATGTGTATGCGTGTGTGTAGAATGCCGAGCCGTTAAGCGCATGTTTTCTTTCGCATTAATTCTTCATCGTCGTCTTCGGTGGCGGCGGCGGCAACGGCGACGAGTATAAGAAAACTTGCTACTGGTGTGTGTGTGTATAATACGTGAAACCATTACTCAATGTCCTCGTTTGTGCGTGTCGTTACTCATCTTCATTCGTTATTAATTTTCTCTTTCTCTCTCTTATCCGTAAGCACGCGGGTTTTCTTTTTCGCGTTAGAAGCTCGTTCGCCTTTTTCTCTCTCTCTCCCTCCTCTCGATATATATATATTATTATACTTACCACACTGGTTGCGGCGAGCGAAGAGGAAAGAAAATTTGTCACCCGATGTATACTATAGCAGTATCGACTCGGTGGCAACTCGTCGCCACTTCTGCAATGATAATAGCCGAGGTATTAAAGCTGTCTAGAAAGTCTCTGGAGTTATTTTAGCATTTTACACGTGTGAAGTATCGTCGAGTTGTTTTTTTTGTCGTTTTTGCCTCGATCGTCGTATAGACAAATGAACTTTTATATATATTATACCGACCAGAATCACGTATGCAACTTTACGACGAGCGATAAAAGCTCT